ATAGCATTTGCATATCATTGCTCTTTTGTTGATTTTGATTGCTTCCATTGTCCTCATTTGTAAGTCGCTTTCGATAAAAGCGTCTGCTAATTGACTAAATGTAAATGTATTTTAATTATTTTTAATATCAATGCTGTTTAAGACAATAGCGCCATCCCCTGACCATTATAATGTGACTAATTCATAGCTCATTTAAAGGTAATGTCACCGCTAGAGTAATTTGGACAGTCACGCTAAATGGAGTCGAGGATGGTGGGAGTCAGGAGTCAGAGTCGACTCCGAAAAACCTGGAACCGAACACCCCTAATGCCAGGTGTTCGAGGAAAAAAAAAATTTGAATCTCAAAATTGAAAATCGAATGCCAACCTACCGAACGAATATTCGAATATTCTGGTTCAGCCCTACTGGAAACACACAATAAAATATATTATAAAACACTAAAACAATAAATTAAGCAACAAAATTATTAAGTGTACAATGTTTTCATATGAATCTAACATCTTGCAGATTTGCATTTTTTAATTAAACAGACACGCATATTAAAATAAATAATTTTTTGATGAAGAACTAATTTGTTTTTGAGGATTTTAAGATTCACCAATCAACCTCTATGAAAAATGAATGCTTAACGTCTGGAAAACCACAAAAAAAATAAATAAATAAATAAAGGGGAAAAAAAATCTTTTTTTAGGTCGTGTGACTCTGAGCTCCACAAAAATGTGCTTCCTGTCGTATTAAATGCTGCAGTTTCATAGGATAGCACATAAAATGCTGCTGGAAGCCGTAAGTAAATTAGATAATCATCATGACACTATAATGTAAAATATGCAATAAAATATAAGCTTACGCTTAATTATTTACGTGCACAATATTCTTCATACAGATCTTACAGGTAAGAGGTAAACTGTGTGTATTTTCTAAGTCAGCTGTAAAATCCACGTCAACAGCTTCAGTCATGTTGAAACGCAGCCGCAAACATGCAGAAACCACTGAACGAGCATCGAATCACAGTTCACAAGAGCAAGCGCCGTCCAATGAAGAGAAATCAGCCGCAGTGGCAGGTGATGTCAGCGGTCACTGGTTTGAGTGATGGCTGGAGAAATGAAGTGTGTGTGTGTGTGTGTGTCTCACGAACACATCACTGCTGATGCTTATTAGTGTTCGCTGACTGCAGCTGTTTCTAGAGTAAACAAACCAGTAACCAACTTATTAAAAAACGCCAATGGACATGTGCTGCAGGTTAAACACACACACACACACACAAGGCAGATTTGTGTCGCACAAGTGTACGAATGCACATTTGTGTTTGGGAGGGGAAAGAATTTACCTTCATATTTCAGTTATATGTCATCACTAACAGAATAATAATCTTGTGATAGCAACTTTCACAATCTTAATCTAAGGGTCTATGAAAAGAGCATCTCCAAAGGTCACACAGCTTTTACCGAAATTACTTCTTCCATCCTCGCTGCTCCTTGATCTTCGGTAGCATCTCATGATCAACAGTTTCACCCGGACACACACCGAGAGGAAAAACACAACGCTCCATGGAGAATTAGAGGAGGAGAGATGAACACGACAGGTCACTGTGAGACCGCTGAACACACGAAGACAAAATACTGTTCCCTAATCAGACCACAACAACCTAGTGCTGAAGAAATGCCACAGTCCAGAGAGATTCTCCACTGAATATACACCTCAGTGCAAGTCGAAACCTAAATACTCACTATAAAACCAATCCTTTAAGTCAAAAAAAAAAAAAAACACAAAAAATATTTATTTCTTTATTTGGGACAGTGCTATTAATCAATAGTAAAATACTGTAAATGAGTCAGAGTTAGCCCCATTGGCTAATTTTCATCTGTTGCCAGATTTTAAAAAGGCAACCTAAAAATCTGAAACACAGAAAGTTATCACACATAAACATACAATAATATTTACAATTACATACAATAACACCTCTATAGATAATAATGGCAGTATCATTTAAAAAACAATTTGCACAAGATTACAAATTTGATTTGCTTTTATCCATTTCCTTCATTTATATTTAAATGTTGAATAATTTGTACTACTCTTTAATTCAGTTGGTAGAGTATTTCAATAATTAATGGCTCTAACTGAAAAGACTGATGGTCCAAATCTTCCTCAAAAACAAACCAGTACTTTAGAATAAACAAATATTTGTTTGTTTGTTTATTATAAAATAAATAAATAAATAAATAGTTTCTGATGAAAAGTTAAAATAAAAAAAGATAAACATTTTTAAAATGTAAATAAATAAGAAATTATTTGTTTTTGAGAATCTTAGAATCAGAATCTTAAAGTCCGGAGAACCACAAAAATACATATACATAATAAAAATAATAATAATAATAATAAATTAATTAATTAATAAATAAACAAACATTTGTTTATTCTAAACAACTGGTTTATTTGAGGAAGATTCAGTAATTAACCTCTTTGAAAGATCAATGCTGAAGAATAAATAAATAAATAAATAAACAAACAAATAAATAAATAAATGACTGATATGTTTTTTTACAATCTTTAAATTCACAAATCAGTGTCTTTTAAGATCAATGCTTAAAGTTTGGAGAATCACAAAAATAAAAATTAAAATACAATGTAAAATTTTTTTTAAAGTAAATGAATGAATGAATGAATGACTTTTCTAATTTGTTTTTGAAGATCTTCCAGTCAACCTCTTTGAGAGTTCAATGCTTAAAGTCAGGGGCGCCGTAATGGGGGGGGGTTAGAATGATTCCAAGGGCCCAACGAGGGAGAGGGGACCCGACTCAATATGCTGTTCTGGAGGCCCAGAAACCATAGCGGCAACAGAGACCAAACCAGACAGTCAATGATGATTTTGTTAATAGTATACGATTTTCAACGTCTTCAAGACATCACAGCGACAATTCTAGCAGACAAAGGGAGTCGAAAACAACAGAATGTTTAGAACAGCATGTGTGTGAATTAAAACTTTACTGCCGTAGAAAATGAGATTCCTCTTTATGCCATTGCTATTCATCTGACGTGTGCTGTGCTGCGGTGAGCGGTCCGGCGGGTCTGCGCTCTTTGTTTCATTACTGTGAGGTCAGAGGAAAACAGAGGTTTTAAGTTGTTGTTGACATTAATTAAGCCTCGTTACCGCAGGCCACGGTATTCCCAGCGGCGGGAAAATGAACGCAAAGGTATTGAATACAAGAAAGTTCAGCTGTCCATCACTCTAGAGATGCAGAAAGCAGTTCGCTTTTAGACGCTTCACTAAAAAAATGAGCAATAACACAATTAAAAAACACTCTGCTCGACTTAATTGGGTGAATCTCACCAAAACATGGCCAGTCGTAAGGAAAGACAAAGCAATTATATACTGTTTTTTGCATTATAACATTATTTTCAAAGACCATAGGGCTCAGTGGGCCTAAATTCATATTAAAACTTGGGCATATCGACAAATAAAGATCCTCCTAATCTTTCCATAACCTGTCAAAGCTATTTAAAGGAAACACAGTCTTGGTTGAAATCCATTGCAGTCTGATCTTGCCAATCGTCCCCTAGAAATGCATCACAAGATCATACAAGCGTCCAGGCATGCATGTCAAATAATCCAGAACGTCAGAGCACATTCAGATGGCTTTCCTGATCCTACTGTATCGGCCCTCTTAATATTCCTCATGAATATCGGCTCTGATCACATTCTGCCCTTTAATTTCATGGTGAGCGACCCACAATCCGGCGTGCGAACACTTTGATCAGCATGATGCATGCCTGGGTTCATCAGCACCTATTTATTCATTGCATTAGTCATCTATTGTTCACGCAATTGCCAAAACTTCTTAACTGAATACAGAATAAGCATATTTTACACAATCCTTTCCATTTCCCAGAGCGTCTGCTGCATATAGTTTGAAGAATATGTTCAATATCCAGGCACTACAATTATGGCTAATTATAGTATGACTAGAATCTTGAAATGCATGTAATGATTTTTCCTCGCTCTTCCTGCAATGAAAACAACAAATAGGCCAATTTAGGGAATTATATAAACCTAGAATCTCAAGCATCTTTGGCTAGAAAGGAGGGAGGTTAAGTATTTAACTTAAGTAATGCAAAGCACTGTGCTGCCATGGTATACAATGGTATAACCCACAACAAAATATAGCTGAAATACTAATATTAAGGTATTTTTAATCACTACACACTATGGTTTTACCATCTGATACTATCAAGGTAACAAAAGTCATGGAATAGATTAAATTTGAACCATGTTTTCTTTGAAACACCTTGGAAAAACAGGTAAATTCAGTATAGTTCATATCAAAATACAATAGCACACCCATTGTACCTCGCCAAATTAAAAATGAACATTTTAAGGAATAGCAATTTCACGTTGTTAGACAATATCATTACAATATTAACAAAGACATAATTAAAGTGCCTTAAAAAGATCATCGCTGACCCATAGTACTTTTTCACAAGGTTCAAAAGCCACAGAATGATATTTCTGGGCACAACCATAAAGATTACACCATGGTATTCTTTGACAAAACCATTCAGTACCACGGAATAAATCAACATTTAACACCATCAGTGATTCATAATTCAGCCACAGGACTTTTATGAGGTTAAAAAGCCATACAATGGTAACACCACGTTTTAAACCAAAGTAATGCTGTGTTTTGGATACCACCAATATACCAAGGTATTGTTTGAAGTGCCTTAATGAATAGGTTAAACAAACAATACCAACGTATACCGATACCAATAACAGAAATACCACGGTATTGTTGTACTAGTACCTTAAAGTACCACAATATCACCATCATATACCATGGTACCACCTGTCAATAACCCCAGTGCAGTTGTGTTGGTGATGAACCGCTCTGCGCATCTCCATCATTGTGCCGTTCGCGCGCAGTTCGGCTTCAAATGACAGCCGTTAACGAACCTCAAACCCGTTCACAAGTACAGAACCGGATCGAGCCCACACATCTTACCGTTGTTGGATATATGGTTCTCCACGTCGTCGCTTCCAGCTTGTCTGAGACTGGCACTAAGTTGGATGTAGAGTCCCATACAATGTAAACTCCTCAGAATCACTCCAAACGCGCCCATCACTGCTCCCTGCAAAACACTCTCTCACATCAGGTGGAAATATACGGCTTTAAGAGATAGATCCAGGTGTGGTGAGTGTTTGCTGGTGGCTTTTGTCCCTGATGACAGCAGCAGGAGCGGCTGAGAAGAGGCTGCGTGTGTTTGCAGTCGCCCACTGATGCGATTTGAGTCTCCACGAAGAGAAACTACCCGGATCTAACCGATGCGGCGGAGGGAACAGCGCGAGGAGGAAGTTCGGCGGCTGAGGAAGTTTGAAAAGGAAGTTCACAGCGAGCCGGTCAACGGTCGTCCTGGGTTGAGGTAAAATTACATTTTAAAATGTTTCTGAGGTAAATTTAACTTATGACTTTGAATGCAGAGGGTTATATTTAAGTAATCAACAAGTATAATATTTCTGACCGCAGAATTAGAATAATAACTTTGTGATGTGTTTTTTTTTCTCGTATATTTGATTGCGCACAACTAGTGCCTACTATACATATACTGAATACTGCCCATTTTATAAATAGTGGGCAATTAAATTGACATTAAAATTGATGTCAAAAAACAGGTCAAATATGCAAATAAAATTGACGTTAAAAGTTGATTGATGTAAATTGAACGACAAACATATTGGCCTATATCTTTCATATCATTCAAAATTGATATCAAAATATTCATTTAATACCATTAATAGGGAAGGAGATGCATTTAACGTATTTCTTAAACCAATTTCAGGTGTGGGATTAACTTCCAACTTTATTTATACATCGCTTTTTACAATACAGATTGTGTGAAAGCAGCTTTACAGTATTAAACATGAAAATAGTGTGTAGAAGGAACCAAAACTCTATCTATCTTCTCTGGCCAGACGAAACCAGCACACAATTTTCACCCAATTACCAGCGGAAGAAATTGCCATCCAAACTGAATTTAAAATTATGTTACAGCATCTTGATCAAGTCTTGACTAATATTTGATGTTAAATTGATATCAAGGTGCCCAATATTGTGTGAAATAATATCCAGTATGGAATGATAAACGTCTTATACATTTAGTTTACTAAAGTATTTTCAAGTTAACATTATATTTAGTGGTAGGCTGACATACATACAGAATGATTTATCCGTAGATATTGGGACAAAATCTGTGCTGATTAATGGAAATTATTCCATTTAAAGAGATAATTTGCCTAAAAAAATTTTTTTACATAAGAAAAACAAGACATTTTTTTCTGCAGAGGAAAGAAATGCATACTGAAATGACATTCAAAATGACAATGAAAGGAAGAGTACATTTTAGTTTGAACTATGCTTTTAAAGGCCATTCAAGGGTTCATTTAAATTTTGCATTTACATTTTATATACACTGTTATATCCACTAATTATGCTGCACGTTAAACTCAAGTTTAGCTGATATACTGATTGAATGAGTATTGAAAAATGTAGGGGGAAAAAATTACCTCAAGGCCCTTCACCACGCTGGGAATGGAAGGTTAAGTCAAGCACATTGCATTATGGGATACATTATTCAGCAGAGAGCTTTGCGTGTATACCAAACACAAAACATACACATAATACATGCTTCATACAGAAAAATGCTATTCTGAACATTTAATGATGCAAAGGCTGTTTTTAGTCATAACTACTTAATGCAGATATAATCCTGTGCTTACAGAATATTTAGTTGTAGCTAACTTTGTTTCAAGTCAAAACGCACAATTATAATGATTTTTTTAATCCCTTTTTCTCTTTAAGGATTGTGAGAAAAACAAAATGCACTCATGACATTTAAACCCAGAGTAGTTTGACAGTACAGTGTGGCTAAAATGCCACTGGTTTTCATGCCTTTTGCAATGCATGACATTATCTTAAAGGGGTCATATGATGCTTTTTTAAAGATCATTATTCTGTCAACTTCAGGGATCTTATCTAAGCTTGTAACACTCCAAAGAGAAAGGAAAACTTGAAATCGCATCATATGACCCCTTTAAAAATATACCCTGGATATTACCATGATGGTAATACAAAAAATAAAACCACTGCATTCTTTGAAGTGCCTTAAAATTACAATTACCATGAAATAGCTATAAAAGCACAGTGATTTTTGTAAGGATAAACTCATTTTACATGTTTTTTGGGAGATAAATGCTCAGGGAATGCTACCATCCAGTTTCCCACTGATCTACAGAATAACAACCCAGTTTCAACTTTCCCTGTGACCCGCACAATACTGGGATTATAAGTGGGTATAAAAGAACACTCCGAGCGCCCTCCGGCTTCGAGTATGAATGAAACATACACTGCACGGAGTGTTTAGCGCTCTGTGATGTTCATCTCGGCTTATTTGGGTCCGAATAAAACATCAGATCATGCACAGACTATCCTGTCTCTTTGAATTTAAATCTATTATTTATTCACACCGGCTCTTGAAAACCTCTATGCGAACACACTTGCCCGAAAAAGTGCGGGGGACGAATTTACGTGATATTAAAAGTGGGGGGGACACGTACCCCACGTAATCTACGCCCCTGGCTCCCGCCACAGGTTCGTATCAGTTTAGCCGGTGCGAGGAAGTGGAAATCAGCACTCGCAGAGCTCAACTCAATCACTCGGAAAAAGACAATTATTCCGAGCTCTCTGGGCTGTGAAATTGCTGTTGAATCACCGTTAGCACGCCAGTGTTATAATCACTGATAAGAGATGCTACTGGGATACCTGCCCTTCCCGTCAATTCAAAATGCAAATAACGATCCTGAGTTTTATCCGGGTGATTTCGGAGGAAGGGTGGAAGCAGATGTTGCTCTGCGTGAGCCGGCACGGCCTCCGCCCCGCCACGGCAAACCGGAGACGAGAGTGATTGGCATTCGCTCCCGACAAGCATCGCTACGGTAATGAGCGTGTCCTTGAAGCGCGCCGGGCACTCGCCCCGTTCTGTAGTTACCGCTCATTTGCATTTCAAGTTTGATGTGTTGGCAGAGGGGCATCAATAATGTTCTAGGCACACGCAATTCATCATAATGTACAATTCAACAGATGGGTAACTGTCGCACATCACCTCCTCCGATTGTCGGCATTCCTCTACAGTATTTACGCCTCCCTCTCTATGCAAACCATCTCCCTGGTAACGACGAGAACTAGCAGCAATCACTGACCTCCTGAGACGCAGGGAGATACAGAGACCTTGCAAATAAAGCCGTGCTACGCCAACAGAAGCACGGAGAGGACAGCCAGAGAATATTTAATATGCCAGGAGCATCAGCCGGGAGCGGGAAAGTGGAGCTCCTCTGAGGACAAGGCCGATGGATAAACAAAAGGGAACGTGCGGAGAAAGAGTCGGCGAGATAATGACTCTTGTGCACTTGTCCCGAGGCTAAAGGACAGGAAGTTATCGCTCTACGACAACGGGGCGGGAAACGAGGAGATGCGCCGTGCCTCTCGAGGTGCATACGAGTGCTTCGGAGCCGGTCTACAGCGGACGATGACCACGGGGGCCTCGAGCTGTCGATGTCTGATAAAGTGCAAGCCGTAATGAGACTGCGGCACTTAATTAGCTGGCGAAACGCGGCGCTGCCTTTCTCTGCTCGTCAAACGAAGAAGATTCATCAAGGCCCAGAGCCACACAGAGATGTTTTTGTTACTACAATAATAATTTCCCTACATAATGTCTGTTTTAAAGCGCTGGCCCTCCAGTGAGTATAAATCCAGCGTAATGGCCCCCCGTTCGGCCTGCCGAAGAACTCAGCTGGATTGATTCAATTTGGCTTTAGAGCTTTAACAATTATTCTCAACCTTCAGCTAAAGACTCTGTCCGTAGCAAAGGAGAGCTTAGTTAGCAAACTGTCTCTATATGGCAGAACGTTCCCTGGCCGTGGCGATACATACGCTAAGTCCGCGGGAAAAGGGGAAGCAGGGATTGTAAATTAACAAGGGGATGTAAAGAGAAGTTAGAGAACGAGAGAGAGCTGTAGCATTTTCTCGCTAGCTCAGCAGGCCCGCTATTAGCAAGGGATTGGGATTCTCTGGCTCATCGCCACTGGACAAACATCTAATTAACGGCCATTAGAGTCACAGCAGCCATATCTTCTAAAAGAAAGAGAAAGTTTTTTTTCCAAACCAGGAAAAATCATCATGGAAATACTGCTTGTGTAGACAACAAATGCAACAAATCATTTTGAATTCATTCATTAGCAATTTGGTCATAACTGAAACTTGAATGGATGATTCACCCAAAAATTAAAATAAATTTTTCATCATTAATTCACCCTCAAGTCGTTCCAAGTTGTTTTCTTTATTTCTGCTAAACTTAAAAAGATATTTAAAGAATGCAGGGAACCAAAAAGTTTCTGGTCCCCATTGACTTCCATAGTATGGAAGTCAATGGGGACCTTCATCTGTTTGGTTACCAAACATTCTTTAAAGTACCTCCTTCTTTGTTCCACAGAAGAAAAAAACTTGTACAGGTTTGGAACAACTTGAGGGTGCGTAAATTATGATAATTTCCATTTTTGGATGAACTATCCCTTTAAAGGCTTTGTCCAGTAATCACAAATAAGATCATGAAAAAAATCGTATTTTTATTGGTCAAATGTGGGAACCTTGAAATTTACCTTCAGAAGTTTGGCTTAGCTTATTAAGAAGCCAAATATTTTACTGTCAAAACTCCATGTGTTGACACATTTCCCACTGAAACTAAAATAAGAGAAACACAATTAGAGTTTGCTGATTCACTGAGAATGGCAAACGTATAACGCTGCCAGTGACACAATGGCGTCCGTTGTTTGACACATATTCCAGGGAGGAGCAGCAAGACCAGAAAGCAACATACAGTAAAATCCACCAGCCATTAGCAGGTTTAGAATGTTAATTTTGGACCCTGGATCCATATAAAGGGACTTGAATGATGAGATGACAAAAAAAGGCTGAAAAGATAGGAAAGCCACAATCCTTCACTTAATCAGCCATCTGCAGGAACGCTGGAGAGGAGAACAGAGACATAAACACAACATTTTCCTAAATTATGTTTCAGCACAAGAGTTGTTTTGCTGCCTGAATTGGTCTAACGAGACATTAAGTCTCCTGGAAGGTGATCTAGGCTACACAATCTAATGAAGGAAACGGCACGAAGTAAAGAAAGGCACAAACTTTAATTACAAGAAAACTGAAGTTGTTTTGACACAAAATATCTGGCCTAGAAAACAGTAACAACTATAAACATGAACAAAATGTGTTGGATATCAACAGATTCAATATCCAGATCCAATCTGTTGGTATACAATCAGCCACGTGAATGTTTAAACTTCAGATTTTTGTGGTCCAGTCAGGACAGGATGAGGATTGGCCAAAATACATGTAGCTTCACCGTAACGCAGAAAAAAAAAACCGCATAGGAAAACCCACACTGAGCTCCAACTGGATTTTTAGAAGTTCTCAAGTAGTTCCATAATCCTCTTCTGCTCACTTTCCTTAAACTCCTCGCTCTTGCCGTCGCCAATATTTTCTGCATATTCTGAAAAACGAGAGGGAAAAAGAAACAGGATGTTTAGTAATTTGGATGAATTTCATGTACGCCACCAAGCCCTGCCAAGAAACCCTTCCTAATGCTGTCTCAAAGCAGAGGCAGCATACTTTAATCTGAATGTTTAAACTTCAGATTTTTGTGGTCCAGTCAGGACAGGATGAGGATTGGCCAAAATACATGTAGCTTCACCGTAACGCAGAAAAAAAAAACCGCATAGGAAAACCCACACTGAGCTCCAACTGGATTTTTAGAAGTTCTCAAGTAGTTCCATAATCCTCTTCTGCTCACTTTCCTTAAACTCCTCGCTCTTGCCGTCGCCAATATTTTCTGCATATTCTGAAAAACGAGAGGGAAAAAGAAACAGGATGTTTAGTAATTTGGATGAATTTCATGTACGCCACCAAGCCCTGCCAAGAAACCCTTCCTAATGCTGTCTCAAAGCAGAGGCAGCATACTTTAATCCGGAAAAAAAAAAGAAAAAAAAATCAAAGGGAGATTTTGTATCCCTGAAAGTATTTTTAAAAAATGTGTCACACATCCCTTGACTGCCCACCAGAGTTTATTTTCAGACCCCCTTCTTCATATATGGAGGAATGGATGGAAAAAGCTAGGCTTTAGAAAAAGCTAAGTCTGGAGTTCAGGGTTTGAGGTAGCAGGATTTAAGAAGTACCATCCTTAAAGGGGTCATATGATGCGATTTCAATTTTTCCTTTCTCTTTGGAGTGTTACAAGCTCTTAGTGCATAAAGAAGATCTGTAAAGTTGCAAACACTAAAGTCTCA